CACAAAATCTTTAGAATGAGACCTCCGTGTTCAGTCGACCAATTACCCACACGTAGTAAATAAATTATTTAAAAATCAAACAGTTTATTAGAGGAAAAAAAAAAACTTTCCAAAAATGAGCACGGGCAAAAACACGACAAGGATTTGTTTTGGGAAAAAAAGTAATTAAAGAGAAAGAAATATCGCTGATCGTCGAAGCACAGAATCAACAAGCATTAGCCATTTCGCCAGAGCAAACAGAAGATGTAGCAGCTTGAAGGATCGATGCTAAAGGAGATGGAGAGTGTGAAAAACAATCCAGTTTTGTATGGCGTAGCATGAGAGCTTGTTCAAATCTAAGTCAAAGAGACACTTAAGTGCACAAAACAAATAACCAATTCAAACTCCAACAGGACCGTAGGCGGGTTCCGAGGCAACACTGTAGAGACAAACAAGAACACATCCACTGCCTACTCAAAACATGTGCTAAGAACTGACATACTGGGAGCTTCCTTCCAAGTCGAAGTGCCATTGCCCGAGACGCAGGGAACCAACAGTCTGCATTCAAGCTAATGATATTTGTAAAACGATGTGCACTCAAAACTCGGGGTTCTGGAATAGGACTAGAGTTCAGAAGAGGATGAACAATCAGAACTTTTCGCAGGAGTTTACTGCCGGTAAACGCGAAGAAGAAGAAGACAAAGAAGAAGCAGAAGTAGAGGAAAAAGAAGAAGAAGAAGAAGAAGAAGAATGAGAACAAGAACAAGAACAAGAAGAACAAGAACAAGAACAAGAACATGAAGAAAGTATAGCTGATTAAAAAAAATTAATAAATGCATCAACGCAGGAAAAGAAGAGGAAGAAGGAAGAAGAAGACGAAAAATATAATGTCTGCAGTTGTAGACGTGATAAAACTAAAATATCTCATGCATTTCCATAACATATAACATTGTTACATATCCAATAATCTAATCTCTCTTATTTCTGCTCCCATTTTCTGCCAAATCCTCCTGCCGCACCAAACCATAAATACCTCATAGCCAGATAGAATAAATATTTTGAACAAGCCAGAATAGTCAACACATTCTGCGCTTCCCTGGCGATTCCGGCCAGGGGAGACAATAGGAGACTCTAATGCGTTAATTGGAGTTATCCCCCCTCGACATAAAGAAAGATAAATCTCGTTTCATTAACACAACAAGAATTGTCCCCCTTCTCAATAGAGATACATTTTTATATGTGCATTCCTAAAACATTTTATAAAGGATTTATTGATGCTATGAAGAGCTGTGTTGCAGATTGCATAGGAATTTGCTGGGAAAACATTGGAGATGGATGCATAGATAGAGTCAAGGTTTTATAGAATGCATGTCTTGTCAATATACGCGATTCCTTTCTGACCAAATGCGTGCACAATTAGTAATGATAGTTTTTTTTGTTGAAGAATATGCCAGGTTGTCGTTGTAATTCAGTGGTCTCCTAGTGAGATGCAATTTTTCGTTATTTTGAAGCTCCACCCTGGCCCTTGCCAGGGGCCGCAAAATAACCTGACCATAAATATGGTCTAATGGCTGAACGCAGTTTCTGGAAACTCTCCACGGATGATCGTCATCCACATTGTGGCACTTTGTGTCATCGGGTGTTTATCGCTTGTGTGATGTCCTAGTGGGTTAAAAATCGACTACTACTATGCCAGGTTGTGTATCTGAGGTATTTTTTTTTTAACTTTTAAACTGCAAATGTAAGGATAATGCTGCAGAATGCGGAGATCGAAAATCCGTATATGAATGGATGTCCATTACTTGCTTGATTTCTGTTACCGAGATTATTGATTGCATGTTTTGTTTGGGTGTGGGGTCTTTTGATTTTTAATTCTTTTATGCTAGACTTGTACACTTAAAAATGTAGAACATTGAACATATCTCGGTGTCCCTACTGGAAAGGACAGAGGAAGACATACAGTCACGCCTGAACAAAGCTAGAGCTGCTTTTGGAAGGATGAGGCAAATCTGGAAATCCAACAATTACTGCAAAGGAACGAAATTTCGACTCTACAAATGCATTATTTTTTCTGTTCTTCTTTATGGAGCAGAATGCTGGAGAATGACCGCCGTGTAGTTGCTAGACTCTCGCCTACGGGTCAGGAGGTCTGAGTAGGATTTTTTTAATCAATTACCTTTTTACCCAGGTCGACCTAGCCTTAAATCGGTACGAGGTAAAGTGCTGGGAAGTAAAGATGGCCGGCATGATGCTGACAATATCATCCACCTATTGCCGATCGGGTTATTATTTTTTTAGATCTAACCATGTATGTTTGCCCAATAATACAATCTCAAACACTAAACTACTTCAAGTCACAAACCAAGAAACTTTAGACAGTATGATTACCAAGAGAAGATGGAAATGGCTTGGCCACGTTATATGAATGAATCCTGATATACCTGCAAAAGCAGCTCTCACATGGACACCAGATGGAAAGAGAAAAATGGGGAGCCCGAAAACAACATGGAGACGAACAATG